AGAGAGAGAGAGAGAGAGAGAGAGAGAGAGAGAGAGAGAGAGAGAGAGAGAGAGAGAGAGAGAGAGAGAGAGAGAGAGAGAGAGAGAGAGAGAGAGAGAGAGAGAGAGGAAGAGGAATAAGAAGTGGAAGAAGAAGAAGTGGCCCTTTAATTAAAGCACTAGCTCCAAATAAATCCTCTATTTACCTTCCGCCGACCAGAAGATAGTTCCCATCCCTAAGCACCAGCCGAAAGTAGTCTGTGTGCGTCTCGTTTCCCGTAAACCTGAACACATCCTCCGCACCTGGAAAAGAAAAGCAGAGGAAGGGTTTCGGATTAGTTTTTGTTCTATCGCTTGAAAAGTGGAATTACCTTATTCTATCTAATTAGTCGTCGACGACCATCGACGTTGCTCTTTTGTGACAGTCGACGACGGTTTGTCGACTCTCTCCTACCCATACCCCCCTCTCCCTGCTGCCGTAAAGGATGGAAGCCGGCTTTAATAAGCGTAATAAACTTCCTTTTGACCGCGGACCCAATGAACAATGCTGATCGATTCATTAAAGAACCAACTATGAATAGTCTACGTTAACTTCACCAGCTGGCTAAAAAAAAGAGATGTCTCTATTATCCGTTGATTATCTATTAAACACAAGTCGCAAAGCTGATGTTTTGCGGGTGTTCTCAGTACAATAAAATCGATTATCGAATTCGAGCGTAACGTAATAGCAACGATTGGAGAGGGATCAACGCAATGACACATGCTGCAATTTCGTTATATTCTTTACGTTTAAATTTCCCGAATTTCCCACAGCGTTCTTTCGACCGTACCGGCCTCTTTCGGACAACGAAATAATCGTGTTCAACATCTGCGAAGCGAAACGTTAATGAACGCCTCACTGGGTCCTCGAATGTAATAAGCAGAAATTTCCGGGGTAATCAATGCCGATCGCAGCAATCTCGGATCCGGTGCATGCAATTCGGGACATATGCATAAATTGCATTGCCACACTGACGACGTGCAGCATATTCCTCGCATACGAGGAAGCAATATGAAGCTTATTAAATATTAGTGTGCCACATGTGACATATGAAAAGAAATAAATTTTACGATAACAATAAATAGGTCGCAATAACAATAAACAATCATTTAACAATGCTTCTCAATACGTCTCTCTATTTTTCTTCGCTCATACAAAAGTGCTAAAGTAATACAAAATTTTTTCATCTGTTTCAAGTCTTCTAATGTCGATGACATCAGGATCATCGATCTTCGATGCTCTCTTTGTGCGCAAACATTGACGGGTAACTGTCATTTATTCTATAAATATCAATTGAAAGCTCTCTTCAACGAGATTTCAATGTCAGTGATTGATCGATGAACAGGCGGTATAATTAACCCTTGTCAGTCACACTGGGTAAAGTCACACCCCAGCGTTTTTTTGACTTCAAAAACGACCCAGTAAACCAATCGAAATGGGCCTTGTGCCGCCATCTACAGGTAGTTGGGACCTTCAAGTATCGATCCCCGTCGGTGGTATATTTTTCGGCCCGTTAGTTCTCTCTCGGCAGCCGTTCAAAGTGGGCGTCTCGGAGTTGTGGGGTGTATTTCACCCAGTGTGACTCATACGTAATAATTTGAGTTTTTGGAGTATTTTTTTTTCGTTTCTCGTTGTTCCAAAGTGAAGAGGCAAGTACACAGTTTTGTTTTTCGTTGCTTAGAATTTAAAAAAAAATTTTACTGTGTAATTATTCATGAAAAGTAGATGGCTTATAACTTGCGCTCTCGTACAATTCGCGAGGAATTGCTTGATGAGTCCGAAGAACAGCCAATTCTTGGCGGCGATGACACTGATGGAGCCGAAGACCACATGTCCGAGCAATCGGAGGAATCTTCGAGTGATGGCGAAGAAAGCAGTGATGAACTGGACTCCGAATTATAAAGTGGCGCGCTTAGCGAGAGGCTGCTGCAGTCTCGGGCACATGGCCGACCATCAACGATTTTGAAAGGCGTCAACGGTCATAAGTGGAGAACAGAGACCTCTTCCCGACAGTCAGATAACAGTTACAAGTTTCTCTCTCGCGTTTTTGTAGCAGCTTGTCAAATTTACGGCTTGCCTACAACTGTGTACGTAACGGTTGCCCGGTCTGTTTGAATCGGATATTTACAAACATTGCTTTTAGGCCGGCTATCGGAGGCTGGTCAGAATATTATTCCTGGCCCGGTAAACACAGAGGCGTCAACGATTGAAGAGTTCTGGAGTCTCCTGATTAATGATGAAATCATCAATTTAATAGTTCAGCACACAAATGCAAAGATCAAGGATGTGTGCGCAAAAATGATGGCAGAGGATCAGGACACGCAGACGTACCATCACCATACCGATGCAAACGAGATAAAGCCTACATCGGATTGCTGTACTACAGCGGGATGTGGAAGCAGTCTTCGGTGCATTACGAGCGGCTGTGGGATAGAAGTAACGGTACCACGACCTACAGATGCACGATGCCAAAGGCAAGGTTCATGTTTTTGTCGTCAAGCTTGCGCTTTGACGACAAAACAACGAGAAGTGCGACCGATAAATTTGGCCCGATTCGTGCTGTCTGGGATATTTTCATTCGTAATTGCCAGCGCTATTATAAGCTGCACAATAATTGCACCGTTGACGAGCAGCTTCTTGGCTTTCGTGACAGATGCTCGTTTAGGATGTACATCAAGTCGAAGCCAGATAAATATGGCTTGAATATCGTCAGCTTGAATGACGCCTGCACATCGTACATGGTACAATATTTCTTTATATTATTGTACGTTTTTATTATTAATTTTTTATAATCATGTTTTTTGCTATTTTTCTAGTACAATGCCATCCCTTATCTCGGAAAAACGAGTACTCCGCCTAATGAGTCTGTGTCGGAATATTTCCTGCGGGAGGTGACAGCGCCTATTCACGGGACTAATCGCAATGTAACTTGCGATAATTGGTTTACCTCTGTACCAATTACCAGGCGATTGCTGGAACCGTACAGGTTGTGCATCACGGGGACAATTCAAAAGAACAAGCGCGAAATCCCGCAAGCAATGAAGATTGCAGAGCGTGAACCGCCTGCATCTAAATATTGCTACGATGACAACCTTACTTTCGTGTCGTACACGCCGAAAAAGAACAAGGTGGTGCTGTTGCTGACGTCCTACCTGCACGGAAACAACAAAGAGACAGACGGAAAGCCAGATATTGTTCATTTTTACAACAAGGACAAAGGCGGGACTGATTGTTTCGACATGCTCTGTCACTCTTTCACAGTCAGCCGCAGAACAAATCGATGGCCTATGCAAATATTTTTCGGCATACTAGACCAAGCCGCAGTCAATGTACGAATTTTGCTTAAATGCAAAAATAGCGTGCGAGGAGACACAAGTAAAGTGACGGCAGAGTCGTGCCTTAATCAAATATATTTACATTTGGTCAAGGCACACCTGCAAGAACGATACACAATACCAACAATTCGCAAGGACATCAAATGCGGTATTGCGAATATCCTGCACTTCCAGGACAGGCCTGCATTTGGAGGGGACGCCCAAAATTGGATAGGCAAAAAAGATGCCAAATTTTCCCGAGAGGAACTGATAAAAAGACGGGCTCCATGTGTCCCACTTGCCTTCAACCGATGTGCGACAAGCATCGCGCATATTTATGCGTTAAATGTGCCTATGAGATCAAATAAAAAATGTAACTTTTTCATTTACTTAAAGTATGTAATTTGCAACGTAAATTTTTTTCATATTTTTTAAACCATTTTTCATAAATATATTGCTATTTTTTCCATAAAAATGTCTTTTTCATTTTTCCGCAAAAAATCGCACCTTCATACCTCAAAATAAATATACTTTTTGGAACGGCCGCATAAACTGCAATAATCAGTGAAAAGTGCATCATCTGAGGATGAAAAAACCGTTTAAAAAATTAAAATATCTTAAAAATTGAAAAAGTTACATTAGTTTTTGTGAAAAAAGTCACTTTTCCGACTTTTTTTTCAACAATTTTTTTACATATGTTAAATTAATTTTTTGCAAATCAAACCTATACAGTCTTTTTAAGGAAGACTTAAACTACAACAGGATATTTTTTTTTAAGGTCACCTACAATTGTTTATACACTTGCAAACACGCTAGGGTGTATTTCACCCCAGTGTGACCGGTACGAGATTCTCGGGAAGTGTGACTGACAAGGATTAAAAAAGTAATTATCAGACAATCCCATATCCCGATGCCATTCAATGTAGATGATCGAACTTGTGCATCCGGCGACTGTGATTCAGGCCAGAGATAGAGATGCACTTAGTGCATCCAATTGCAACAGCAACAAAGAATGAGGACGACGATTAAACGGTCCATGTGAAAACGGCTGTTCACTCTTTGGAAATATTTCTATTTATAATTCTATTAATTATTACGAAGCGAGTTATTCACAGTTTTGCCGCGGGAACTAACAAAGAACCAGCTTTATCAATATGCAGCAGCAAAATTTCATGCAAAGCATACTTATTTGAATCGTTTGTTGGCGGCCAACTGAGACAGAATTTCAAATGCACTATAATTTGAAAAGCGTTATAACACAAACATAAATGGTTATATTAATCTAGCTAATTGCGCCATATTTAAATGTAATTAAACGTCCGCATTTGAACCTCACTTATTGGAATGCGTATAATAATTATTCCGGGCTTTGCACATTCAACTGCCACTCAATGTCAACCATTGAACCACCCTCTACCTGATTTATGTAATTCGAGTCATGAATATATATGTATATATATATATATATATATATATATATATATATATATTTGTGTTGCAAGTAACCACTCTGCTACTGATCATATAGTCACAAATGTTTGTTATACATTCAACGTGAACCAATCGACCGTTGCGAATGTTACTAAACAAACATGTGTAATTGACATTTTTAATCGTTATCTACTACTATACATGTTACATGCGCACAAACTCGCAGTTATATGTCCTATAAAAACATTTCATAAAAGACATAGAAAAAGTTAAAATATATAGAAAAATATAAAAAACATTTTTTAAAATATTTTTTCCAGATGAGTACATTAAAATCTTTCAAGCTCAACGGTCGGTTATCATCGGACACATCAATAGCAATCGATTTCGACGACTGAAGAGAAGGCGCGCTCTCGCACCCAGTGCATGCAATTTGGGTCAGATATAGACAAGCAACAACGGTAACAAGAGCAGTGCCAATGAATAAATGCAATGCTGAAGCAAGCTATTATCGAAAGCATCATACGTCTTGTCGTTGAAACGAATTAACGTCACGTTGTCGAGCGACATTCGTGCCGCTTGCCGTGGCAAAGTTCGAGAGAGAGAAGTCAAATGGATGAGCATCCAGCTGATATGGAGAGACCGAGGCGAGGATGACGTGTACAGAGGAAAAGAGCGAGAGGAGTAGACGCGCGATGGATCGACGGATATCCAGATAGAGGCGTCCACCGCCTATCCTCTTTCTCTGATTGCCTTCGAAATTAAACCGGCTGAGTGTGTGTCTCGTAACTCCCATCAACTCCGAGGCTCACTCGGTTATCGCTTTCCAAAATTAGCCGTTCGATTCCAGTCGCGTGTCGCGCGAGGTTAAAGCTGAAGAAGGGTGACTCGGAGGCGAAAACGGATTTCCAGGGATCTCTCGATTTGCAATCTACACTCGTCCGCCGCACGTGGAAAATGCACGAACGGATAAATAATAATTAGCCACGGCGGAAAAAGACCTGCAAAACCGCCCGACGAGATATTAAACATCATTGATTAACCCTTAAATGACCAGTGGGGTCCAGCGGACCCCAGATCCTTTAGAATGAAATGTTTTCAAATGTTCTTGCCAAAAATGAAGCTCATGCTCCCATTGATGATAGTTGAGTGATTGACCTACCCGTGTGTACACTTAGCAGTACTCAGTTTACTTAATTTTTTATACTATGTCAAAATTGAAATTTGAACAATATTAGCATTTTATACTCTTTTCTAGACCTTGAACAACATTGAAAAAAATTGTCATAACTAAAGATAAAAAAATCAATGAGTAAGGAGACATTTTTCATGCTGGGGTCTTTTAGACCCTTCAGTGAACTTACGAGATTCTTGAGAGGTGTGGCATTTAAGGGTTAATTAAGCTTTAGATTCTCCCGCAGATATCAATTACATCACGATCGACTTCCTATCTGTGAAATATTTATCAACTTGGACTAATACTTTCGCATATTCTTGATATTAATGATACGCTTGGAATATTAATATGTACATAAATACACGCGTGAAAATTTACACGTTCGAGATATTTTTGTATTTATGTAAAAGAGTTGTAAATGGTAAGCATTTCTCTTCCGATACATTTTCAGAGATCGCGAGTATCTATAGAAGCTGGGAGCTCTTTAGAAACGTCGTTCTTCGATACGATCAGTGAAAACCTTCGATTGAAAGGACACGCAATATCAGCCCCATTACCGTAGGAAATTCGTCCTCGTTCCTCGCCCTTTTCTCCGTCTTTCCTTTTGTTCCGCCGTCCCGTCAGCGAATGGTAGAACTTCGCATCTGCCAGCCATTTGCGGTTAACGTCAAGTTTCGAGCAACGAGAAGCGCTCTGATATTCGTGAAAGCCGATACAAAATACAACCCACGGACATGTATCGGCTTTCACGCTGCTGCCAGCGGAGCACAAAAACTTGTACATACTACGGGGATACGTACACTGACGGCAGAATTCATCGCTTCGAGATGATGCTTCGTCTCCCAAATAATTATTTTTACTTTTCCAAATAATAATATTATTTCGACACACAAGTGTATGTGTATATACTAAGAATGTCCCAACACAGCTAGTCTTCATAAATATACATAACAACGATACCACGTCATGAATTTAATAACAATCTTCATAGAACTAATAACTGAGAGTCAATACTTCAGCAAGAAATCGATTCGAGAGAGATACAATCGAAACCGCTCCCCGAGAGCTGCGATTGTTCCTCGAATGCTAAAAAATTGACCGAAGTCGATTTATCCGGGCTACCGTCTGACCCCGCGAACCATCTCTACAAATCACATATATAAGTTCCTCGGGGCCGCCCCGGCAAGTGCCGCGATTCGAAAATATTGGACGTGTCCAAAGTTACGATTCGCCCGTCAAACTTCGCAGATCGAACTTCGCCGGAAAGCGCTTTCGCCGTGCGAGACGTCGGAGGTAGAGGCAGGAACAACGGCGGGCCGCGAGAGGAAGTGAGAAAGAGAGGCATATTTATCACGTGCTCCAAAAGAGAAGGGGGCGAGGGAGAGGGACCGGCTGTTTCGTAGAGTAAACGATGGCGTGCGAATGTCCGTGACTAGTGGGCGGATTGCTTATCAAGAAAGACGGAACGGCTCGTGAAATGGCAATTAAACGCACGAGCGTCCCTGTGTGTTAAGACCGGGCACTCCTGCGTGTCTACGTCGATCACAGTGTGACGCCCGCGCATCTTCCGTCAGTTAATCCGACTGACGCGAAACGGTGCGCGTGCCGCGGTTAAATGATATGGGTGACGGCTGAGGCAATTTGATGTACTCAAGATTGGCGGTTGTATCCCGGATTGACGTAGCTATCAGCGACGGAGAAGTCGCGGATTATCGATTCATTGATAATTACAAGCCGCCGCAAGCGTAACGAAGATATACTCTCTGAAGAACAAAATATCACTCAAAACGAATGAAATGCAAGTGTAACGAAAAATGAAAATTGATCGAACCTGTGCACTTCGAGTGATTCGCCACTCTAAAAAAGAGTATATAGTTACGCTCTATAAGTTGGAGTAAAATCACACTCCATTTGAGTGAAAGGACACTCTTTTTGAATGCAATAGATCACTGTCCATAGGAGTGAATTATGTCACTCTATAACTTTGAGTGGAAAATTTCACTCTGTTAGAGTCATTTATCAGTCAATCTTTAGTGAATCGTGATTCACTATAGCTTTAGAAGTTTAGAGTGAAGTCGTATCACTCCGGTAGAGTAGCCGCTCTAAAAATTTGAGTGAAAAATTCACTCCCACTTTATAAGTGTCCGCATTTACTCTCTTTTGGAGTGACTATCGCAATCACTGTAATATATTAATGGCGAAACTACTCTATAAGATTTAGAGAGTATGCAGGCGTTATAATCACTTATTATTGGAAGATTCGTAGAAATACGATTGATAAAATTGTCAATTAACTGATGTCTTCATAAAATTGTCAGTAATTCTGAGATCGTGAAATTAAATTAATTAAAATTAAATTTACAAGCTTGAAGTTAAATGCATTTATCGAGATTTTCATAAAATAAAA